GTTATAAAAAAAATTTTACAGCCTATGATTAATCACAAAAAGTGAAATTTTGAATTAATGTGATTAAATTGATTTTATATTGAAAAAAAAAATGATATTTCGATCATAAATTAAACCTTTAACGTATTAAAAATTGAATATTTATTTAATAATTGTAATTATTATTACTCGAAGAAAACAAACGTGTTTACTTCAGGAAAATATTTACTATGTATTATTCTTCCGATAAATTATGTGGGAGTTTTTTTTATGCTTACTTACAAGTGAATAAATATTTATAGAAAACTAGTTCTATTAGATTGAACATATTGTATAAAATGAATAAATTGCTGTTGAAAATAATACCAAGATTTTTGTAAGCAAAAATTTCAGATTAAAAATTTTTTTTAATTTATATAAAACAATTTTTTTTAATAAAAATGTTGATGTCGCATCGACTGATAGGAATCGGTTGGCTAAAAAGGAAAAAAAAATAAAAAATGAAGGTATTTCGAAGAAATAAAATAGCAAAATATATTTTCGATAGAATAAAATTTATTAATATTATTATCATTATTAATTACTATATTTAATAGAGAAAATTAAAAAATAAAACAACAGGTGAATTTTAAAACTTATCAATCATTCTTTAGTATCTTTTATTTATTTATCTTCAATCGGTAAATATCTTAACGATCGTTATTTAAAAATGTATAATATATGGTGAAATATTTTTAGCCAACCTAATTATTACATAATACAATTTACTCTCTTTAAATATATATATATTAATTATCATACTCATAATTACTTGATTTATCAGTATTAATATTAATAATAATATTAACATGTATATTAATCGTAATCGTACGTTAATTACTTTAAACTGACTCGTATTTTTGATATAATTATACATATATATATTTATTTTACGCACAATAATTTAAAAAACCATTTAATTATCTTATGGAAGGAATGAAAATGTACAAAAGTCTCGTTGACGGGCCGGGAAAATTAGTCCGCTTTTAATATACAAATCCAATTTACACTTACGCATAAAAAAATTTGTTTCGCTTTTATTTTAATCCTTAACACATTTTCTTTCTTTGAATTAGTATTTATTATCGCAAAAAAAAAAAAAACAATTTTTATTACCGTGAAAAGTTCTTTAATACCTCAATTAGATCCCGAGATAATTAACGGCCATTTTAAGCGCTTCATAGTTTATAATAACTCTAAATTTAATTTAAAATATGAAAAAATAATTAAATTTTGCATAATTGTAAATAGTAATTAAAAATATATAGAAAAAGTCTTTAAAAGTTATTAAAATAATTAATTTCACGCTTTGGAATGATTAAAAACAAAATTTTCGCGCTTAAAGCTGCTCAAAATGGCCGCGCGCATGCGCGCAAATAGTTCCAAGTTCCAATAACTCCATATTTAATTTAAAATATTGAAAAAATAACGAAATTTAGTATAATTGTAAATATTAATCAAAAATATAAAGAAAAAGTTATTAAAATAATCAATTTTAAGCCTTGGAATGAGTAAAAACAAAACTTTCGCGCTTAAAGCTGCTCAAAATGGCCGCGCGCATGCGCGCAAATAGTTCCAAGTTCCAATGAACAAAAACTTAATTATCTCTTGATGTAATGGAGCTATAGAAAAACTTTTCAAATAAAAATTCTTCATACTAAAATAATAAAACCATTTATAAAAAAATAATTTGATAATAAAATAATTTCATTTTTACAAACCACAAACTTAAAAAATTTCAAAAATAAAATTTAAAAAAGAGCGTCTTAAAAAATTACCACATAAAAAAATTTTAATTGGATTTTTATACAGCGAGTTAATTTGACGCACTACTAAAAACAACTTAAAATGCAGTACAAATAATGTACAATTCACAATATAATATACAACGCTTTTCTTTAGCCTCCCTCCCAGCCGACAAATGGCAAGATTCCCCTCAGCTTTACTTTAATTAACAATTAAGCGCAAGCATTTATCAATTATCAATTGTAATTAACTATAATAGTCAATTAATAATATTTTCCGAATGGATTTACAATGAAATAAATGCCGAAAACTGGTACCGTACGCCCGGGACCTCAATTAACGTAGTATTTACTGAAAATATGGCTATCAATAAGACTTTTGCTTAATACGGTTGATCAAATACACATTAACCTTAGTATTAAGTGTTTACTTAAATATTTATCTCTGTCTTTAATTTAAAAATCAATAAACTCATTTAGTAGCATTCAATTCAATAATTTCTCCTTTAATAGCTACATTACTCATAATCATACTCATACTTATACTTATATTCTTCGTTACTTAATCCTACTATTATTAAATTGTCAAATGTGGTAACAAATAATGAAACATTTTAAAAATTGCACGATATACAAACTCAGTAATTGCTCTGGCTCGTTTATTTATCATTTATCATATATCATTATTTACGCAATAATTTTTTATGATAACTTCAGTCATTCTTCGCGTTACATCTAATTTATTTGTAATTTTTCTATACGCGAGACATCCACAACATTTTATTTCGCTACTTGTTTTCTTTTCTTTAATATATATTTTTTTTTCCATTTAATATATATATATATATATATTTATATTTATTTTTAGTTTTGTGTATACTTATACATAAATATTTGTTCATTAGCATCCACACAATTAACCTATCATTTATCGTTACATATCAATTAATTTATTTGGCCACTGAACATCATTAAGTCCTCTGTCGTCCTTTTTCTTCTTAAATGAAATTAGTGACACCTCTCTTACTAATTATTATAAAATTACTAATTTTTATAACCAATCTATCAAATTCGTACTAATTTTTAAATTTATCTAAATGCGCATTGAAAATTTTTCGTTTTTTTCTATTTCTGGCCAAAGATCAGATCTTTTTTGCAATTTAATTCCCTACAAAAAAGGTTTGTAATTGTATACACCGATAAGAAAATGATTCAAGAAAAATATTCTTGATCCAAGAAAATTATTTTGAAGAGAACTAGTTGTCTTACTTCAAGAAATTCTTGTCTTGAATTAATGTTTCTTGGATTGAGAGGTCTAACCACTCCGATCGATAATATTTTCACTTGGTTCGAGACTATATTATCTTCGATCGATACAAGTGAATTCTTTATTCAAAAACGATTCTCTTCAATAAAGAATTATTTTATTTCATTTAAAGAATTATTGATTGTTGATTCAAGAACAAATTTTTTTATTTATAATGTTATAAGTTGTAAGTCAGAAAAAAACTTTGAAGTTAAAAAATTTGGATTTCTCTATATGCCGACAAAATATTTATTAATACAGAGAATAGCAAAAATACAACACATTTATATGCTTAAAACAGGTTAAATAATATCTTAATTCAAGAGTCGCGCCATACTTGGAACAAGTCGGTAACATCTTGAACCAATGTTACCGTCTATCTTAATTCAAGAGAAAGAAATTTTTGGGCGATAGTTGTATACATCTTATTTGAAAATAACCAAGTTCCTTGATTCAAGAATCTATTCCTTAAGTTAAGAGAATTGAACTACTTAAAACAAGAGTGACATTTTGAAGAAAAAATTTTTTTTGACTCATTTTTTCTGTCAGTGGCTTATTTAATAAAAAATGTATTTTTTTTTTTTTACAGTTAAATTTCATAATTTTAAACTGAGAAAAAAAATTAATTTGAATCAAAAGAAAAATTCTTGAACCAAGAAAATAATTTTGACAAGTTGCATTAATTTGAATCAAAATTCTTGAATCAACTAAAATTTATTTAAAAATACATCTTGAATTTCTAGTTATAAAAATTGTTAATTTTCAAAAAGCCGAAGAATAATTGAATTCAGTTAAAAATATCATATAAAAATTTTGATAACTCTTCTTGTAGAAAATTAAATTTCCTAAAAAAAATCTTGTATTTTATCCATATCTTAAATATTTCACCTCAATTTAAATTTAAAACCTTTCGAAATTCCGAATGTAGCCCGAAAAATTTTCTTTTACGCAGCATCGTTCTATAAATCAAGACTTTAAAATAATACCGCGTTAGCACCGAGGATCCAGAGGCTCCAATAATAATCATTAATCATATTACACAATAATAAAGAAAAAAAAAATAAATTTCATAAAAAATAATAAATCATGATAAAAAATCTCAAATTACGAACGACGCATAAATTTACTAATAAAATTCGCTAATTTTTCTCTTTTCATCTCTAATATCGTTGCCTTCCTCGTTGTCATCGATACTTGTTCTTAAATATAGATTATAATAAAGACGCCGATGTACCAACATCGTAATACATTATTGGCAGTGATTAATCGTGTCTTAAATAATAATTATCTTCCCGCTAAAAAATTAAATTTTCGCATTATCAAGCTACGTTTTAATTTTAACAATTAATTATTATTAGTATTATTATTATTAGTAATAGTATTATTATTATAATTATTATTATTATATCTGGCTGATTTATGAGAAAATTTTTAATTTCAGCGCAGGATCACAATTTTGTCTAGCCTCCAAGGTATGATTAATTAATTATTAGCAACTATTAACTAAATATTAAATCTATTAACTAGTAACTATTAATAATAATTAAAATTAATAATTAATAATTAATAATACTTATCAATAAGGCTACAATTAAAAATATTATTAAAAATATAATTCTCGGGGCTAGACCAATACTTTAAAATGTCTTGCAGGAATAATAATTAATTAATTAATTAATTCAGCGTAAAAACAAGTAAAAGATGAACTTGGAAGCAAGGCTGGAAGTTTTTTTGAGAGAACGTGTCAACTAATTCCTTCCAATTTCATTAATTTTTTTTTTTTATTTATTTTAAGTCGGCTAGCTGACGAAGACGCGCGACGACGGTGACATTAGAGGATCGCCATAACCAGGAGCTGGCATGCATTAAATAAATTCGAGCTCACTGATCGCACTTGGAAGTGGTTAGACAGTAAGTGCTGGTAAGCGAGATTAGACGTGTCTCTTCATATGAAGGGCCAGGTGGTCACTGCGCGAGAAACAACGATCACAGTGTCGGCATTTGAAGGGCTTGGCTCCTGTGTGCTTGCGGTAATGGCGGGTCAGCTCGTCCGAGCGCGCAAATCGCCATTCGCATCCCTCCCAACTGCACTTGTATGGTTTTTCACCTGGAACATATCGAGGAATTTTATTTGCAGGGTTTATTATTAATGATTTTTTTTAATTGTCATTATAAATTGATGTGACGTTTTATTTCAAGGTTTGAACGAGCTTTTTTGAGTCGGAACTTTCTCAAGGGAATCTGGTAAATAAGCTGGAGATTGCTTCAGAGTCGCTGGTATTAAATTGCTTGGATATATGTATTTATTTACCTCACATTTAATCTTTTTCTTACAAACACACGGAAAAGTGTAATTATAGGGTCTTACTCTAGTTATTTTGTGAAATAAGGAATTTTTTCAATTCTTGAGAAAAAAAAATTAGGACATATTTTTTTTAATTAATTATTTTTTAGAAAAAGTTAAAGTGTTTTTATTTAACTACAATTTTTTTTTTATTTTTTGAAAAAAAAAGTTCAACCACTAAGTTTTACCTAATTAATTAAAATTAATTTAATCAATTTATTAAATTAATTAATTTAAATAAAATTAATTAATAATTAATTTAAAAAATTAAAAGTTTTTGTTCAATCAATAATTGGTTTAAAAATTAGTAATTTTTTGAAAAATAAGTAACTTTTTTTTTTTCCAATTATTGATATTTAAACAAAACCAAACAATTTTTTTATAATTAATTATTTTTAAGTAAAATTAGAAGTATTTTCATTTAGTTTCATCACTAAACATTTTTATAGGCTTTATAATTTCGCAAAACTCAATTTTAATTTATTAAAATTAAATGTTTAGATTATATTTGTAATCAATTGCTTAAAGAATTGTAATTAGATCAATAATTCAAGAATATTCCACAATTATTATTTTTAAAGAAAATTTTTTTCTTACTAAGAATAAATTTGTCCAAAAAATTACCATTTTTTTGTTCTAACTATTAATTTTCTGAATTATATAACATCACTTAACAATACACTGAAAAAAAAAAATTGATTCAAGAGAAAAATTCTTGTACCAAGAATATAATTTTGAAGAGAGTAATTCTTTGGAATCAAGACGAAAAATTCTTTAATCAAGTAAAATTTCCTTAAATATTTTCCTTATAATTCAAAAATTATTAAAAAATTTCCTTATAATTCAAAAATTACTATTATTAATTTATTAGAGTCAATTTGTTTTATTTAATTAAAATAAAACTGCAAGTGTCAATAACTAGGTCTTTTACCTTACTAACAAAAAAAAAACTTTGAAAAATTTCCCTCACGTCTTAACCAACCACCAAATTCCCCAACTTTCCTTATAACATCCAAAAATTGAAAACTAAACTCATATTAGTAACTGATTATTTTCATTATAAACAAAACAGCTCGAGGCATGCACGCATATTAGTATTCCCGAAGTTTTTTTATTTCGAGCGTCTTTGGGGTCTAAAGTGGAGTTCTTATCTCGTGTGTCTTAGATATATAATTCCCGAGGAATTTTCTTGCTGCGTGGTGGTATGCCGTACGCCAACGGGATGAATGAGGAGGAATTTGGCTATGCCTCACGACGTTCTTGTTGGATTTGTCGCCGTCGTTCTCCATACTCTGCCTTATACCCTAAGAGTATACCTATTCCTCAAGGCAATACCAAGACTTGAGGAGCAATGACAGAGCTGGGGCATCAGAGCCTCGCAATATAATATAATACAAGGTGCTGGATAAGAAACAAACTGAGGACTGTTGGTTTAAACGATGCAAACTACACAACCGGAAGGTTAAACAAACAGCGACATAAATTTTCTCCCTCTCCTTTCAGATCTTTTGAGGGTATTTTTACAAAATATACACCAGGAGGATCCACGAACGGTATATATTATACGATGTATTTATACTTGTTCGTACAAGTGTTTTTCCACTCGTTCGTCTTATTATCGTAGACGAAATAACGCTCGGGGACGTGGCGCCTGAAGATAGGAATTTTCCAATTTTCTTACTATAGGTACCTCACTTTGGAAAAACTAAAACGGATGAAATAACACACGTCGTCTAGATCAATGGATCCAACGTGAATCTATTTTTCAGTGAGCATGCATCCATGTAAAAGAATAAGGAGGGAGTCCTCTCAAAAGATGAAGAACAACTGGGTAGAGGCAGAAACAGGAGAAGACAAAGTGGAATGACGGAAAAAAGAGTCGCCTTGGGCGGGTGGTGATCACGACAAGGCATCTCTGCTAATATTTCAGAGCCTCTGTTTCTTAGTCATTGTCATTGTCATTGTTAGCTTCCTTTTTATGGTGAATCTTTCTCTATTTCGCGAGAAAATTGCAATCGTTCATCCTCCTCGCCCTAACCTCCCGTCCTTCTCTGCTCTCTGCTGGCAATAACCAACGCGGCTTGTTAACCCGGTAGCTGAAGAGCCACAGGTGGTAACCCCACATTGTCTCTCTCATTACCAAGCTGCGTCACCTCATCAACGTCACCCCGTTTTCATAATCCCGAGAATACATTATTGTTGTCATTATCATTATCATTATTTACTGGTTAATAATAAAGGGGAATTAAAAATTTCTTGTTAGAGCTATCAACCAAGGGGAAAGTGATATGATGCTGTTTATTTCATTTTACCAAGGTGGAATTATTGTTAGACTATAATTTTTATTTTGTTTGACGCGCTGTCAGACGGTGAGCTGTTTTAAAGGGTTATTTATGATGTGATGCACTGTAAATTGAAAAAATTTATTGATTGGAGAACAAAATTCTTGGCTCAAGAAAATTTGTCGGGTGCCTGGAAGACTGAAGTTGTGTTAAGAAGTAGAAATTTTGCTTGAAATTCTATTCTTGGTGAGTCATTTTTTTTTTAATTTTATCATAAATACTTGATACAATAAATTTTTGTATTTGATCAAGATTTTTAGATACTTTAGGGAAGCAGCGCCACCTACTTCAGTTGAGAAAAAAATTTTCTCACCTTGAGAAAATAATTAGGAAGAAAAATATTTTCTTGGCTCAAGTGATAACTTGAGCCAAATATTTTCTTATTTTTAGATAAAGAAATTTGTTCTTAGTATAAATTAATATTTTTTTTTCAGTGTGAAATTATTCTTTAAAAAAAATTTACTAGAATCGATTCATGGATTCTGCGAAAATAGAGGGGGCAGAAGACAATGTTATGTTAAAGAAGACGAAGATTATGGGAAAGAAGAAGAAGTTTAACCCGGGCAGTGTTTTTACTGGCCTTCGGCGGGAAAAAGAGAAATTACAAGGACTTAGAACGGGTGGGCGATAGTGAGCTGGGGTCTGACTCCCTCGCGGCGGAGAATTACTCTACACAGGAGGAGCAGAAGCAGAAGCTGAAGAAGCACCTTACCGAGAAGAGAAGTTGAGCAGGACGAGTCGAGCGAAAGGGATTTATTTCTTCCAGGCAATAGAGATTCGGGTGCGCAAATGGCCGAGTATGCACTTATTTCGACCCTCTTTTTCATCAAGCTCCACTCGGTAAGGCAGTTTTTTATATTTTTTGTACCGACTGAACAAAAAAAGAAGGAGAAATAAAAAAGTCAGTGAGCGACTGCTTTGTACAATCAATTGCCGAGGTTTTTAACGCTTCGCGCTCATTCCTAGTTTTTCGAGTGATGAAAAATGAATTGAATTTATTCATCGTGGGATGAATAATTTAACGGGAACAATGTGCAACGCGGATGCACATCGCGATGCAGAGACTCCGGATGTCACGGATTCGTATTCACGCACGGAAGCACTTGCGGGGATGGTCATTCATTTCTTCATGGCTGTCTATGTCTATGACTATTACTCTGGCCAGGTATTTTTGTCTCTAAAGCCATGTTTGTATGTGTGAGAGCCATTTCACGCACAATTTATGTCCTACCGATAGGTATAGGCGCGTGTCACGCATTTTATCGGTTTATTATTAAATTAGCTAGACTTTGCTCAGACGTTGCAATTATAATTATCGGGTTAAGTTTTATAAATAGATTTTATTATATTGAAAAATTTGTTCAGAAGATTATAAATCTTTTCTATAAATAATTTTGGCATGCTTTAATTTTGAAGAATAGTGAAAATGATTTTTTTATAAATGAACATCATTAAGTCCTCTGTCGTTCTTTTTCTTCTTGAATGAAATTAGTGACACCTCTCTTACTAATTATTATAAAATTACTAATTTTTATAACCACACTATCAAATTCGTACTAATTTTTAAATTTATCTGAATGCGCATTGAAAATTTTTCGTTTTTTTCTATTTCTGGCTAAAGATCAGATCTTTTTTGCAATTTAATTCCCTACAAAAAAGGTTTGTAATTGTATACACTGATAAAAGAATAATTCAAGAAAAATATTTTTGATCCAAGAAAATTATTTTGAAGAGAACTAGTTGTCTTACTTCACGAAATTCTTGTCTTGAATTAATGTTTCTTGGATTGAGAGGTCTAATCACTCCGATCGATAACATTTTTACTTGGTTCGAGACTATATTATCTTCGATCGATACAAGTGAATTCTTTATTCAAAAACGATTCTCTTCAATAAAGAATTATTTTATTTCATTTAAAGAATTATTGATTGTTGATTCAAGAACAAATTTTTTTATTTATAATGTAATAAGTTGTAAGTCAGAAAAAAACTTTGAAGTTAAAAAATTTGGATTTCTCTATATGCCGACAAAATATTTATTAATACAGAGAATAGCAAAAATACAACACATTTATAACCTTAAAACAAGTTAAATAATATCTTAATTCAAGAGTCGCGCCATACTTGGAACAAGTCGGTAACATCTTGAATCAATGTTACCGTCTATCTTAATCCAAGAGAAAGAAATTTTTGGGCGACAGTTGTATACATCTTATTTGAAAATAACCAAGTTCCTTGATTCAAGAATCTATTTCTTAAGTTAAGAGAATTGAACTACTTAAAACAAGAGTGACATTTTGAAGTAAAAATTTTTTTTGAGTCATTTTTTCTATCAGTGGCTTATTTAATAAAAAATGTATTTTTTTATTTTTATAGTTAAATTTCATATGTTTAAACTGAGAAAAAAAATTAATTTGAATGAAAAGAAAAATTCTTGAACCAAGAAAATAATTTTGACAAGTTGCATTAATTTGAATTAAAATTCTTAAATCAACTAAAATTTATTCAAAAATACATCTTGAATTTCTAGTTATAAAAATTGTTAATTTTCAAAAAGCCGAAAAATAATTGAATTCAGTTCAAATTTTATAAATAATTTTTTTTTAATTTTTGATTTTTATGAATATGTCAAATTTAATGACAAAAATTTCTCTGTCGGGTAAAATAAAGTATACGAGCTCGAGTTTCAGTATAAGAAGCGTGATGTAAAAAAACTAAGAAAACTCCAAAGAATATAAGTTATTTTTTAAATTCTGAAAGCTTCAAGTTGCGATCGGACACGACCTGTAAGTCGGAGAGGTGTATTACGTCGATATGTCAGTCTGCTGGAGCAACGCGTGCTCGTCGTCTTTGCATTTTATTAAGTTTGCCGTCGTGCCATCACAATATAGCACACTTTCTACGTCCTTCGTCTCGGTCTTATTCTTATCATCCCCTTTTGCGACTCACCCCCTTTGCCCAAGTAGTGTGTAAGTATAAGTGTCTCAACAGACTCCAATACAACGTTTACTAGAATGGAACGTGTGTGCAGTGTTCCCCTGAAGGAATAAAAAAGCAGAAAGACGGGAATTTATGGGAAGGTTTCGGTCAATACTCGGTAAAAAGTAGAGTCCGCCCTTCTAGATCTTGCCTGCTGACGCAGCGATACATCTACGCCGAAAAGTAATAACTCAGATAAGACTTTCTCTGTAAGATCACCGGCCTATACTACTCTAGGTCACATTCTCAATGTTGGTTTGATAATGACACCCATTGAAAATGAAGGGAGCTCTGCAGCAATTCCTAGTGAGGAACGTGACTACTGAGCCCGAGAAATTTAAATTTGACATTCTTGTTACCGGATCTGTCTTGCACGTACCAAGCGATAAAATTCAATTCGAAAATTTAAAATCGTTTTTGCTGGTACAAAATGTGCTTTCTGAACAGATCAAAGCCGAAATCGCAAACTGCGAACGAGAACAATGGCCCCGGGAATGGAATTCCACGACTGAAAGTCTCCAGTAATTGGAAATCTCTCTACCGACGTAACGTCTACGTCCTCGTCCTCGTCCTCATGCCTGTCAGGATACTCGCACGTGTAGATCAATACGTCTGCTCCTTTATTTTATATCCATCTATTTGTTTGTCTCATTTTAAGGACTGTTGATACCGTATCTTATACTTTTCCATTTCATTTCATTTTAATAATTGGTTAAATAATTGTGTTAGAAAACTCACGCTGATTTTTTATCCCATTCAAAATTATAAAATAATACGAAAAAATCACAGGTAGTTGGAATTAATAAATAACAAGTTAAACAATCATGTTCTGATTATTATTACGACGTTTCAACTCTTTATTGAATCTTCATTACTCACGCTTATATTATTGATCGATTATAAATTTTAGATATTTTAAATTGCACACCGAAAAAAATCAAATTTATGTATTAATTTTTTTAAGAAAAATTTATCTCAAATGTTATTATACACTGTAAAAATTTAGGAAGTGAAACTGGAATTGATGATTTTTAATTAATCAAATCACTCCGAGAAGAATTTTATTTTTATAATAAAAAACAAGTAAATTTTTTATTTTTTTGTGGGATAAAAATAAAAAAATAATTATCATTGATTTGAAAATTATAAAATGTGTATTTAAAGATTAAAAAAATTAATATAATAATTTTCCTTAGTCTTATGAAAGAAATAAATAATATTTAAAAAAAAATTGCAACAATATTATTTTTTAATTTCTAAAAGTAGCATTTTTAGATAAATTTTTTCTATATTAATTAATTTTTTAAGAAATTCTCAAAATAGTCGTATGTAAACTAATTTCAGTAACATTAAAGTAATTAATTTCATTTAATTAAATGTATTTAATGATTTTTTTAGGTTTTTTCAGTTGATTGGCTATCTAGTCTAAAGCGACAATTTTTATTTAATATTGTTAGTCTCGGATAGCTTCACAGGTAGAGCCTTTAGCGCGTAACCAAAAGATCCAGGTTCGAGTCCTGGTCTGGGTAGTCCGAATTATTTTTTCAATTAAAATTTATCTTTAAAGACAAGTTTAGATATGAATTGTGGCTAAATTGTTTATGTCTGGAGGGAAATACAGGCTAACAATATTAAATAAAAATTGTTATTTTAGACTGAATAGCCAATTAACTGAAAAAATCTAAAAAAAGTATTATAAAAACCAGTCTTAAGGTTAAAATAAATATTAAATACTTAATAATGTTCAATAATTTGTTACTTTTTAAAATTGAAAATTCACTCCCGTTTTTTAGAATAAAAGATTGAATTGAAGTTATTAAATATCAAAATAATAAAAAAATTAATCGTATTGATTAAGATTAAAGCGGTAAATTTGAATTTAAAGTAAAGCATATTTTCGATGATGATAATTGATAATAATAACAATTTCCTACGTAATTCTCGAGTGTAGTTAGCAATTTTGCTGTCGGATTCGCGTGACAAGACGCGGTTCAAATGCGACCTGACTATATAATGCATCTTTTGGTTTTCATCCTTATTACCTGTTCTCCATATTTACTCGCGTTCATGTCTCTGTATTATGTTGTAAGTTGTGTGAAAAGTGTATGCATGTTCTTTAGGATGAAAAGCAAGCAGTAGTGAGGCGACAAAAAGGCCGTCGAGGATGAGGATAGCCGAGCCGGAGAATGAGATGACGACTTTGGAGTATGAGAGACGGCGGTACAGAGAATGCCATCAGAAGGGCTGGGTTTGGGTTCGTTAATTACAGTCCTGCCGTTAGCATCTACCGCAACTACCCCAGAGCCAAAGCCAGTCTCGCTTATAGTAAGGCAACCCTTATAGCGCAGCCCCTGTGCAAGAGGATTCCGGGCTGCAATATCGTGTTCCAGGCACTAACGTCCTTCATCAACCCCAAAGTCGCAGCATGCGTTGACCACCTCGTACAGACCAGAAAGCACGGAATTATACTCCTCTCCTTCTCTTTTTACCCTCCGTACTTGCTGGGTCTTGTTCTTGTTCTTGTTCTTCTTCCAGCTCTGGAGCAAGCTATCCGCTCGCTGCTCATTCGCTCGCTCTTTAAGCGCTGGGGATGCAAAATACGATTGAAAGTCGAGTTTTTTTTGTGCGTCGGCAGCTTTTGAAATCCGATAGTCGTTGAGTGTGCATCGACAAGAGCCTCGTAAATGCCCGCCGGATTAACTTTCAATGTTTCACTGTACTGTTCAGTTACCTTTTTTTGTTTTTTATTTATTTTTTTTTTCGTCTACTGTTTCCTTGTTTGTTTACTCGTTTTTATTTTCGTTTTACCCTTTGTTTTATTCACAGTTTCGTTCTATTTCCGATACCAAAAAGTATTTGCTGTTAAATTTTAAAATCGAGCTATTCTGTTCTATTGTAATGGAAGATAATTCGAAAGTTCACCGATGCAAAGGTGAAAGTGATACTTTTACCGATTATTTTTACGTGTTAGTTTATAGAGCTTTTAGAAGTTTTATTTTTTTAAATATAAATAGTTGAAAAAATATATATATTAGAGCAACCTTGCAGTCACTACGTGACTGCCGAAACTTGTGAACTATAAAAATAAATAAAATTTTGCTTTGATAAATAATGACTTTAGTTAAATTAAACTGTTCTTCCTTAAATATTAATGTTTTTAAAGATATTAGCTCATTCCGATGTTACACTCATCAAGAGCTTCCATTTGAGTACCCACATGTATTTTAGATATATTTTTCATATATATATATATATATATATATATATAAAATATATGAAAAATTGATGCGGGTACTCAAATAAAAGGTCTCGATAAGTATAATGTCGGGCCGAGCTTATTATATATCTTTAAAAATTTCAATAGTTCACGAGTTACAGGGTCATTTCCTAATTATGTATGATGGTAAAGTTTTGAAAATTCACATTTATAATTTTTAAAAATTTCTACATGCGGAATTTTTTCGCCAAATTTTTTTTGTTTTAATTCTACTATTATAAAAATGTAAAAAATTATTAAATGTCTATTCAATTCACTATTATAAATTTTGAATTATTAAATTTTTCACTAATTGAAAAATGAAATTTCACAAAAAAAAAATGATTTTTCTTTATCCGCAATTCTCGGCAGTAAATTAGTGTAAGATTATTTTTTAACTAGTTTTGTTTTATCGATAAATTATTTCGAATCATTAAAAAGTTTTTAAGTATCAATTTTACGAAACTTAAATAAATATGTCCTTTTCTCATTATTTTTTTAAAGAGACATTCAAGTTGTGTACATTCAATATTTCAAACTTTTGCTTTAATATTTTATGATTTTAATAATACATATTTTACAATGCATTGATAATTCATGTACTTTTATACCGCTTATCACCTTAAGGGAACACTTGTTCTCGGGCCAATTAATTTTAATAAATATAAATAAATAAAAATTGTTCATATTATGAGAGAAAAATGAAATTATGTATTCATAATATTCATAGCAAAAATGTTTAATTAAAAATTATTTAAACTTGTGCCATTTTCAATTCACTTTTCATTATTAATTCATTTACTAAATTTTTATTTAAAAAAAAAATGTTAATTAATTTAACAACTCTTATTTAAATTTTTGATAATATTAATTGAATATTTTTTAGTAATAATGTTTTAGAAAAAAAAAAGAATAATTAAAATTTTTATTTGAAAAAATAAAATATTTTATACTTTTTATATGAAGAGTGTTTTTTAAAACATTTTAATAAATTGTCAAGCTTATTTCAGAATCTAAATATTCAGTGACAGAACATTTAAACAAAAAAAATAAAAAATGACTTACCCGTGTGCGTTCTCTGGTGTGCTTTCAGATGCGAGCTCTTGGTATAAACTTTTTTACATCCTGGAAATGTACATTTGTGTATTCTACGTTTAGTGTCTTGGGGACTGTGTTCGTGACTTCTGGGGTGATGCCTGCTTGTTACTGTCGTTGGAACTGCTGTTGTACCTGTGTGCTGATGTTGCGTATTTGTAACTACTGGGAAATCATTTGCCGTCACGGAGATTAATCTGTTAAATTTAAAACATGAAATATTAAAGTTAGTGTCTTATTATTATCTATTGTATTTGATATAAGATTTCATAATTTATAATTTATGTTTTTACACAAGTTATTACTTACCTGGCGACGCCTTGCCCATTTGTTGCAGTAACCCTAACGATTGCATTTCGTCCGCCAGCCCCATGTAAATTTAAATTGTGTACATCTAACATGGAACTGCCACTCGACGAATTACTGGAATTTGAATGACCTTGTCCCGATTCTGGACTCGATGGTGGTGTAAGAATTTGGCCTTCTCCTTCGCATCCGCTGTCTTCTTCTTCTTCAATTTCCTGAAATACATTAAACAATCATAAATTTTTACTTTTTTTATTTTAAAAAATCTCAATTTTTAATTTTTTTTAAACTTCAATTTTTAAATGATTTATTATTATTGTTATTTTCATTTTTAATAAAAATAATCTATATTATTAAGAGAATAAGAAAAATTTTGTGTCTTTTCAAGGTTTCATATCATTCTCACCGATAGTCAATTTATGATGATAAATATTTAGGCTGCATTCGAAAGTGCTCTATTTCTAGATACATAATTAAGAAATGACTTTATATTTTGTGAAATATTTACATTTTTAAAGATATAAGCTCATCCTGATGTTATACTTATCGAGCCCTTTCATTTGAGTACCCACATCAATTTTTCATGCTTATATCTTTAAAATATATATTATATATATGTATATATGAAAAATATATCAAAAATGCATGTGTGTACTCAAATGAAAGCTCTTGATGAGTGTAACATCAGGATGAGCTTATATCTTTATAAATGTCAATATTTAAGAACTGACATTGCTATTTTGTCAACTAATGATATTTTTAAAGATATAAGCTCATCCCGATATTACACTCATCAAGAGCTTTCATTTGAGTACCCACATCAATTTTTCATATATTAATAAATATTATATATATATGTATATATGAAAAATATATGAAAAATATATATAAATATTGACGTGGGTACTCAAATGAAAGCTCTTGATGAGGGTAATAACGTGATGAGCTTATATCTTTAAAAACGTCAATATTTAAGAAAGTACAGTGCAATTTAACAAAAGTCATTAATAAATAAAACAAAATATTAATTTTAATAAATTAAGACAAAGTAAAGAAAAAATTTCTAAATAATTGAATTGCCCAGATAATTTTTGAACTAAAAATTATGTATTTTTAATTAAATCTTAAAATAAGATAACTTTAAAATGTGTAACGATTAAAAACTACCGATTTATATATCCTAGAATGATTTTTTTAACCAAATTTCACGTAACTAAAAAAGCTTCAGTTTGAGGTGTGCAAAAACTAATTAAAAACCCCAATTCTCGCTTGAAGTGTAAACAACAATCTGTAACAATTTTTAACAAATTTAGTCTACATGGCAGCCGGAAGCTTCTATCAATACACTCGATTGATTGACTTCAAAATAGATTGACCGAACAGTTGCAGTTAGTATTAATAAAATAAAACCAACAAACTTCCCCGTTATTCACCAATTTGTTTGATTGATCTTTTTCTCTAGTTTGTAGTTTTAGTTTTTTGTCGCAAAAAGAAAAACAACAAACCTCATGCTCCTCGTCCTCCTCTAAATCTTCACTGGGCTCCTTTTTCAAAATAAGCGCCCGGCATGATAAGGTCGGCGAGCCGTCCCATGAAAGCGCGGAGCACGCTGAGCTAGCAGATGACATAGAGAGGGAATCGAGATGACGATCAAGCAAATCCCTGTCTCGGCCATTGTGGTTGTGGTCACCAGGACTGAATTTGATGTCATCCAAACACAGGGGATCCCTGTCATCTGGTGATGCGGTCACCTAAAAAGTAAGTTATTTTTTAGCTTCAGCAGCCGGACCTCTAATTTAGATTTCAATCTACTGCTCTGTCCGATACAACGGAATAAAATAATAAAAATGACCGAAACTGAAGCAATTAATGGATATAAATAGAAAAAATTCATCATTTACCTCCATTTTGATTTGGGGTTCAAATTGTGCGGTTGTGGTGCAAGTCGTCGCCGTCCAAGAGATCGGTGGCGCTCTGAAGAGGTTCCAAGGCGCTGTGTCCAGTTCTGTGGGCAGTTTTTTGTACGATTGTAGCTTAGGTTCATCTTTCAGGTACCTCTCCATCTCATAGCAAGTCTGGAACAATAAAATTATTAATGAACAATTTGAAAAACTTAAATATTGTCTTTAAAAATTTTTTCTTCGACTAAAAAAACATTTTTTTAAAATTAATATTAAGTTAGCCGACATCTAAACATTTTTAGAATTTTTTTTTATTGAAGAAATGATTAAAAAAAAATAAAAAAAAAATTTCACTTATAAAAAACTTTTAAAAAATATATTTTTGTTCTAATTTAATTTTTAAAAAATAAATCAACAATAATAAAATAATAATAAAATTTTATTTGGACAAGAATATTATTATTAAGCTCATTTTTTTTCCTGCGGATAATTAGCCGAGAAAAAGAGACAATGTTTGATATTTATAATTGAAAATAGTCATTGACAAGTAAACTAAAGTGTTTTTTCGATTAGGAGTCCTCCTTTTATTGTTTCATGAATAAATATCAAACTGACAGCGAATCTAAAACCCAGTATACCCTGGTTAACGGCCCGTAAGACTTTTCCATGCAGTGTAAGAAAGTAACCAGCTGAAGCTACCAGCGAGCTTTCTAGTTAAGTGACCCGAAACTTTATGACTTTTGTAAGATAGCATTACTAACGTTCTACCTACATAAACTATCTGCTGTATAAGAAATTTTACCGCTTTTATTTTCTTATTGGCGCCGTTAAATTCAAAATAATAGTAATATTTCAACGGGTTAAAAGTATTGTCTCCTTTTCGAGGGGAGTTTTTCAAATACACTTTGCCCCTTTTTTAAATAAACAATAGTTGATTTAATAAAAACAAAAAATATTCAATATTAAAATTTTCGTTCTATTTCTTGCTATTAGAAATAATATTAAATATAAAAAAATCCTACTATCAGTGTAATACATAAATCCGATAAGTACCGAATAAATTTTATTAAAAAACATTTTCTGCAGATTCAAAAACCAAAGCCTGATAAAACGAGAGTGCACTTATGACAACTGGGCTAAACGTTGCTCCGATTTACTGTAAGAGTGTTTAAAAAATATCCGAGTGCGATGGCGATGGCATAAAAGGGTTGTCAGCTGAAACAATTAGATAGTACCTGGTAGTAACGACAGGATAAAACGCTCGTGTTGTAGATCAGGTGAAGAGGAAATAAAATAAAAATCCGAGAGACAAAGATGATGCGATAGTTAGAAGCTAGAAGTTAGGGACCGAGGAGGTGTGCCAGATATGAGGTATGAGGGACAGCCGAATAGAGCCTGAGCATAAAGCGGACGTAAAAAATAAAAAATAGGCGAGCGTCAAGTACTGGAGGGTGGAGATAATCTTCAAGTTCTGCACAGTTTGCGCTCCCTCTTCCTCTCTCTTTCTCTGTTTCCCAGTCTTTATTCCTTCCACCTTGGCGCTGGGAGTACCGTCCGGGTTCACCAATGAGAAGTTGCGCCGTAATTCCAGGCGACTGTCATTAACAGAGCTTTTTCGCGGCTCCGCTTCTCAGAAAATGAATGATAACTGCTACTACTCTAAAACTCTCTTCTCACTTCTCGCCATTTCTCCATGCTATACACTTCATGGTCATTTCTTTCCACAACTGTTTTCTCCTTCTTCTTCTTCTTCTTCTTCTTCTTCTTCTTCTTCTTCTTCTTCTCTTTCTGCTTCTTCTGATCCTCCGGGGACCCAAGTCTTTTCCAGTCTCCCTAAATACTTATATTCTTTCACTCAGATACTTTCTTCTTTTTATCCCATGTAATCTTAGAGGGCGTCAATGCCCTCCAGCAGAAAACACATAACTGAAAAATACTCAGAAGAGAGGAGCAAGAGAGGCTCAAGTAAAATGAAATAAAATAACTTTATGGCAAAATGCCAACCCGTTAAAAAGATTCCCACAGCTTTAAGGGCGCAGTAAACCTAAGAATTTATTTAATTTAGAAACTCTATTGTTTAATTTTTTCCTCTCCTTTTGAAGCGCTTTCATTTTCGATAGATTTTATAGAAATAGAAAGCACGTAAAAAAATGCCATTAGGCCTCACCCGAAATGGAAGGTAGATTTTATTTGATATATGTTATGTACAGCTTTCAAATGAATTTTTCGAAAATAAGCTATCTTATTTCAATTTAAAGTTATTCACCAATGAAGACAAAAAAAAACGTGATTTTCACTATTTTGAAAATTTTAAATAGCCGCCATTTTTAAACTAATTGACCGATTTTATTCATCTTCAAACTCGTTCAAGGTAATTACCCAGAGAACATGTGTACCAAGTTTCATCAAGATCGGTCGAAAACTTTTGCAGATATCCTGATAACAAGGTCGGTTATATTACAATTTTTTGACTAATGGTATTTTTGGAACTTACTTGACTAATTATGATATATAATAGCAAAATCAGTTGAAAATCCCACCATGAGGACTAATGCAATAGTTAGATTTCTAACAAAATCTACCTAAAAAATGACTAGTTAACGCAAAGAGGAGTAAATTTAGCGAAAGAGGGATTTTAAACGGCCATGCTCCTGAGGTCAGGGTTACTCAAGCACTAACAAGCCTCAAAGTGTACACTTACACATGCGACCAATTTAGCTCTACTGGTGTCTTTCTCTTTTTCTCTTTCTTGGATCCGCTGAGTGTAATAACACCAGTTGCGACAGATGTGTCAGAATCAAGCACAAATAGCTTGGACAATTGCTAATTCAATGTAAGCCGTTTTTATTCCCATTCATCACGTATTATCATTGTATCTGGCATTAACAATTTACGTTGACGTCATTTCGTTAATTACCAACTGCACTTTATGTAATTTGTTGCTTTGTTCTGTAAAACATTATGAATTTTTGGTTTTTTAAGGTCAGCTTTGAATGAAAATCAGCAGAAAATCTAATTATCTTTCCACTTAAATTTCCTTCATTTGTTTATTTATTTATTCATCAAAGCAGTTACTAATCGCAATGATGGATCTAGTTTCAATCATAAAAATCCCTTTAACTCTGCAAACATCGATGGCTATCGAAGCCAGTCTGCACTGCTTGATTTTGTCCTCGAATCGCCGTCATACGAGTGAAGAGTATCGGGGAGTAGATCTGTGAAAATATTTGTGTGTATGTTTGTTTCCCACCGCGTTATTTTTATTTTTTTATTTTTTTTTTTTTTTTTTTTATGAATGTGCAAAATTAGCCTTCATTCGTTTTGAAATCCGTGCAAACCCTTCACCGCTGCGAACAAACATGACACGTTACATCGAGCAACATATCAGTTATAGGGAATAACACCACCGCATAGGCTCTAGCTTTGAAACGTTGATTCACGTCCATGCAGGTGGAAAAAATAACCTACCCTTGCTCTGCTATCCTACTGCCACTCGGGAACTGGAATAGGGATTTTATGGTTAATAGACTAGACCACCCTACCACTACGCTGAGGTAGAGCCCGAGTTTTTGCTGTAAATATTTTAGCGGTCAATAAAAAAAATTTATTTATATATTTAGTAGGACCATTATTATCCTGGGTAATGATCCATGAGCAGTGAATCGGGGCGGCAGGATATATTCCAAGATCTATTGCGTTAATAAATTATTTATATCTAAAAATTCAAAAGATGAAGCTGAAAATAAAGCAGACATTACTGCTTACGCCTGTGGCCGATGGGAATAAATTTTTGTTATGGTTCTCGTTGGGCCAGATTCGATGCGAAATCCGAGTGGTTGATGGTACATACTACAAATACGGATTTTTATTTCTAGCAGTAGTTTACGTCGAACACGAATCGACAGTTGGATTGTTGGATTGTTGGAGTATTGAGCACTGGGAAGCTATAACGCATGCATCGTCAGTCCAGTGCATCGTGAAATATGTATCCGTCGTGCCACTCTGACCAGTTAATATGAACGAGTACGGGAGCAGGCGTTCACATGTATAAGTATAAAGCATAACACATAAAAAGTAAGCTTTATGTTGGGGATAAATGCCGAGAAACGCGTTCTGTAAGTGGGTGAGTTGTAGTTTGTAGTGGTGTATTCTGGATACTGGTATTGGGGTTGGTACTAGAGGGTGGCGAGATGTCGATATGTCATCCGTTTCACTCACCGTCAAGAAACGACGGGGATCTCTCAAGTATCTATGCTGGAACGCATGAATATTGCTCGAATTCTTCAAGTTCTAGTCGATGTACGAGATAAATAGTTCTTGTGTTTGTATATTAATATTGAAAAAGATGTTTGAAGCCGTAAATATCTTGAAAAATTCAGTAACATTGAACATTTTATCATTTTTCTTTGTTAATAGGAAACAATACTACTTTTAGTTGATATTTTACAGAAAATAACTTTCTAAAAAATTGATTGCGGATGTTTAGTCGTTTTAAGTCACTTTTTTAAGCTTTTTATTAGCTTGTTGGTTGGTCGACAGGATAATGGTGGGATTTTTTAATGAACAAGAGCGAGGATGATATGCTTAGTATTCTTAAATAATGATTAATAATAAAATTTATTGATATTTGTCTTTTTATCACAAATACTAGCTGTTACTTGCCTATTATGGAATTGCATTTTTAGATCTAGACTTGAAATTTAATTAGAGTATTGTTTTTACTTGCACAGATTCCCAATTCTATGGAATTGGCATCCACCTTTTATCCATGTAATTATTCTAGGTAATATTCATTGTAACTTTCAATATACAACCATTATAACATTTCCGTGTCTTTCTTACAATAATGAATAATAATTGATATGAAAAAAAAAATTTGTAATGAGCATTGAAAGTTTCAGTTAAAAAAATTGCAGGTCTCATAAGTGAAGAAATCTGCCCAGTAAACATAACCAATAGAATTAAAAATTGTATTTTAAACAAATGACAATCGAATATAATAAATTTAGTTACAATAATTCACTAATTTTAAGTCAAAAAAATATAGGTTCTGGATAAATAATCGTCAACATATCATATACTAAAACCTCCGAAACACGCTGCATCTTATGGTGTAAGTATTATTCCGATCGGTTCAGTAGTTTTCGCAGTGTAACCAGACAAAAAAACCAGCTCTTTATTTATTAGTATAGATTTTGACCCAGCTAAAACTACAGTTTTAAACTACAGGCTTGGATACTACTATGTGACCCAAAATAATTATAATTAGATCACGGGGCAATCAATAGTATCTCATTAGTGAATTGGTTCAATCGGCTATGAATTATTAACTGGAATATTAACCTCGAAAGTAAATATTGTTCATGATTTCAGATATTTATATCTCATTGATTTATTAATTTTGATGTTTAACTCCAGTAAAATCAAATCGTTAGAGCTGAAAGTGAAAGGATAAAAAATCACGATTTCAAAAATGATTTATAAAATTTTGATTTAAATATCAAAGTATTTGAATGCAAATCAAAATTACGTAATGAAAGTGACATTTAGTCATAATTCAGGAAGCCTTGTTCATGACGCTGACCAAATTTTTGATTGGACACCCTGGTAATTAGATTTCACTGGCATAAATAAGCCTTGGAATTTAACGCAACGGTTTATTAAATAT